ATTATTATTATTATTATTATTATTATTATTATTATTATTATTATTATTATTATTATTATTATTAATTGGCATTAGGACAATGAACTTTCATTGCCACAAATACCAAATCTCCCCGTTGTTCCCGTCCCTGAACGCGACCCCTCCATTCGTGATCTTCGTATCCTATTTCTTTAAGATCTCTTCGTCAAGAATCATCAAGACGTCGAGATTCTCAACGTCAAATATTTAGTCACATAATAGAAAACAATTCAGTCAGGCCACTGAAAGATTATTTAACCGCTGTCAAAAATTTTCCAATCCCAGAAACAGGAAAAAATGTATGTCAATTCCTATGGAATAGTATATTACTCACCTAGAGAGAAAAGTATGGCATTCCGACCCGCGGAATATTGTCACCCGAGCCGAAGGCGATTAAATTTTTATCATAAATTTGTATCACACAGTGCAATGATCCTAGATCCGTTACACAATCTATTAGAAAAAAAGTGGAATTTATATAGTCACAAATTGCAGACAATATTCATAATTTTATATTAAAAGAATTTTTATTCTTGAGTAATTAAATTTTTTTTATATAGAAATTTTATTCAAAATTTTCCTTAATGCATCTCATTATCATCTATAGTATAAAATAATTAACTTACAAATTGAAGAACATTTATGAATTAGAAAAAATCCAATCTCTTAAAAGCGACGGTTACCATTTAACGCGACATTTAACTTGTTTAAAAAACATTTCTAAAACATTTTTAAAAACATTTCATGTTTATACTGCTTTGTCGTAATCTAAATCAATTCTCGGCCGAAAGCCATTTTTGATGAAATCTTATTTCACCGATCAGATGGAAAGATTGACAAAACAGGCTTGGTGTTTAACGTTTTAAAATCTTATCTATTTCTTCACAGAAATTATATAAAATAAATAACATTGATATAAATAATTTGTTTCAATTCACAAAATTTAAATAAATAATAAAACTAATAATGTAACATAATAAATAACAAAACTAATATTGTAATATAATAAATGACAAAAGTAATAATGTAACTTGGTGTGATAATTTTTGAAACAAGGGAAAACGCACAGGCCCACTTTACATTACTCACACTGATACATGGATTCGTGCCACATATCACCAGCTACATATACAACGCATCTATATTTTTTATTTTTGTTCCCGGAATAGTATATCGAAGAAAAATATCTCCCTGTGAGCCTTATGCGATTATTATTTCTTGATCTGCTACATCGATGATATCTATGATCCTTGTAGTATTCTTTTAATATTTTCTTAATCAAATGAAAGTAAAATTTCGCCATTGAAATTTGTTTCTTGTGATGTACTTATATAAGCAGTACGTGTTTCACATGCAAATGTCTATTAAATAGATAAAATATTTGCGATACTACTTTAAACTTTTGCAAATTGCATCTATAGTAATTAGCATCATATCAGATTTATCTATTATATTCATTGAAGAGTTATAATTTAATACACATTTTGGCTTACAAATAAATTCATTTTTTCTTGACATTTTAGGTACTTCTACAAATTCTGCAGTATGTATAGTAGAAAGCATATGAAATTCTTTTTTATCAGACTATTTCACGGCCAATAGATTTCCTGATGAGTGTAACATTACTACTCCTTTTCTCAATTTTTGGTTATCTTAGCCATATCTTTCTTTTTCCCTTGTACGGTGCCACAAGCGTTCATACTGTTTTTGTGGAATAAGATTAACAACATGGAACTGGAAAACTAATTGTCCACATAAACAGAAAGATTGCAAAAGAAACATTACAATATTCCCTGATTTTCCAATAATTGGCATTGAGTAGTAACAAGCCCCACAAATGATTATATCTTGTATATATCCTGTTTTACAATCGCAAAGAAGGAATTACCAAACTTATTTCTTTTCAAAGCAATATACTGTTTAAATGAAAGACAGCTTTTGTAGAGGAGCAGACTTTTGTCTATACATAATTATTGGTATAGCTGAAATTATTAAATAATGTTCGTAACATTTTAACTATCTATCTACCTGCTTTCCGAAAAATAGTAATATTGAATATTCATTGATCATGATGGTTCATAATCGAACCATCTAATAGCTGATTCCCTCCAAAACTTCCCTCAGAATAGCTGGCATTCTTTCGTTCTTATTAAATGTAAACATGTTTTATATATATATATATATCTGGTAAAGCAAATGAGAGACCTTGGGGCCAAAACAAACTCAAGCTATTCTCTAACTTTAAATGTTTCCAGTTTTTGGTGGTGATTTGACTTTCGTTACATTATTTTGAGCTATACTTTCCTTTGAGAGTTAAAAATTTGTTTTCGACATCTTGGGATCTATAAACTTTAGAATATATATTTTATATATAACTTGCTTAGTAATAGTATTTTATAATTATTTTATCTAATAGAACTTATACATACACTAGAACTTCTGTATTTATATATATTTTTTATATTTTATATATATATGAAGTATACTTTTTTTAATTTGAATTGGCCGCGCTTTACCAGCTCAGCGCGCCTTTTAGTCGAGTTGTCAAAGAAACTCGAAATAAAAGAAAAAGATGCTGATGCTTGTGCTGCTCTCTGACGTTACTAGCGAGACGTATATGGCTGAGACGTCATATACTTATCGTCTCTCTCTCTCTCAAGCAGACTTTATATTCATATCTTGAAATGTATTTCAACTAATAATTTACAGGTGTGCATGATAAAAATTGCAACATAGTTCTCGCTAAACAAATTCCACGGGTTAAAAAATATAACAAATAAATTTTTTTTTTTTTTGGAGATTGCGCACGTCTCCAGATTGGTCGTTATTGTGCATTGTTGGCAACTTTGTAACAAAAATATTTTGATGTCCATACACGTCTTTCCAGCATAAGTGGTTAAAAAAACTCTTAATATTGTAATAATTAATAAGTGAATATAAAATACCAATACCATAAATACGTAGTACACACTCACGTTTCATTAAAAGTATATTGTAAAAACCACTTGTTAGATTGGATACAAAAATTATATACAAGTTCCATTTCCGATTATTAACAATATTATTCTAGGAATTTTTCATTGCTATCATTCACAATTTGCAATTTAAAAATATACTAGAATACAAACAAATACTAAAATAATTATAAGAAAATAATAATAGTAAATAAAAAGTGACTTTCCATAATATGAATTCTTTTCATCACTCAATTACATTAATTATATTCATTATCTACCAGGAAAGAAAATAGCGTTATCATTTTTAATAATATATTTTTTCAAATTAACGCTAGAAAATAATAAAATTATTAATAAATAAAGTAAAAATAAGTAAATATTAGAATATATAGATTAAACATAAAAAAGATCAATAATTTTAAACAGATAGATGTAAAAACAGTATAAAAATAACAATACTAGATTCATCACTGTGCACTACAAATCACTAAACAGTTCAAAAAATTGTCAAAAGGTTATATTACTAAACGTAATATTTAATAATATGTAATAATCTCGGGATAGTATTCGAGTGATTTTTAAAGCAAGTATTGAAATTAATATTTAAAATGCAAATATAAATGGTATTTTTTAATTTACAACTATAAAGAATGATAATCAAAATGTGGTCTACACGGTGTTATGCCAGCCTCCTTAGCAATGCAAAACAAATTAATGTTATAAAGAATATTTTTAAAAAACGATTTTCATCTCAAGGTAGTGACATTGTAGATAGTCATAAAAAAACAGAAAATGTAAATAATTCAATTAATCCCAATGCACATTCTTCATCGATTGAATCTAAACTTGCGGAAAGAGGTTATGTTGAAAAAGCATGGAATTTAGAAAATGAAGTTATACCTGTGCAAAATTTACAAGAAACTCAATCAAACAGTTCTGATTTGATTCAAAAAATAATAACTAATTCAGATGATTTAAGTATTTATGAAGATTATATCAAATTACCTAAAGCTTTGGACGTGTGTAACGAAGACATTTCTCATATTGGAAGTTATCAACTTCCTAGTTTTAATATAGCAAAATTTGCAAACAGTTCTGAAACTATTCAAAGATTAATAAAGCTTGGTGTCAAATTATATAAACATGAAACTGATACAGAACTGATGGAATTTTTGTTGAGTAAAGATTTTGAAAAAGATCTATTTCCATATATAAGATTCTTACACGATTGCGGTGTACCTGGTGAATACTTAGGTAAATTCTTCAGTAAAAATCCATATCTATTTAAAGTGGACATGGATGATTTACATACGAGAATAAGATATTTGAGATTTCATCAGTTCGATATAAATATGATTAAAGAGATCATTTGCACTAATCCTAAATGGTTAAATTATTCCACTAAGATTATAGATACAAGGCTAGGATATTTTCAAACGACTTTTCGTCTCAGTGGGAAACAAGTAAGAAAATTGACGACTAAAAATTCGAAACTGATAACATATAAGATGAGTCACATAAGAGAAAATACATTTGTTGTCAAAGAACTAATGGGTTTTAATCCATACGAAATGAAAACGATACTATTAAATCAACCTAAAATATGGATGAAATGTAAGAATTGTCTTTAATGTCCACTTATACAATATGTCCCAATTATTTTCAGCAAAATTTTATCGGGATATTTATCAGTAGAAGTAAAACAAAAATGTTATATAAACATGAGTTTTTAAATATTTTATTAAAAAGTTAGAACAAAAATATAGAATAACAATGAATTGTTTTCTTTCTCAATATCACATAGGAATAGATTGTCGATTCAAATTATAATTCCATTTCAAAATGTTCATTATCATGAACGCAAGACTGACGTCAATGGAGAATAGAATTTGTTGCATTATGAATTTATTGCTTATTTTCCATAATTGCATCTAATACAGTTATAAATCTTTTGTTTCCATTCCTGCTGATAATGATGATAATTTTGTCTTTTACTATTTTCCATAAGTAAAAATCCATTTGTGTGATATTTAGTAATTTTTAAAGCTAAGGAAGTAATTCTTCTCAATTAATTTTTTTCCATTTTGAAGATAATGGTTATTTAGTTATTACCATACTGGTACTATATAACGTACTAAATCATATCATCCAATTAGATCCATAAATTTTGTAGGAAATTTAAAAAAACTGTGAAGTTAACATTTTAAGTAAAAAGTGAAGTCCAAATATGTTATTGTGTCATAATCAAATATTTATCGGCAATAATTCTTATGCTATGTTGACAAAACATTAGTCTATTATTATTTTATATTTCTGTTATAACTTTCTTAATAAACATTTATGAGGCTCATGTTTATAAAATTTTTTGTTATTTATACTTATAAAATCTATTGGTAAAATTCTGTGAATAAAAACTGGGATACCTTGTATAAATGCGTTCATCAAATCTTCTCTATAGATTACTGAATAACTAAAAATTATAATTATCTTTTATATTTTCAGGTAGAAAAAATATAATCAGTACATTTGATTATGCGCATAATGAGATGAAATTATCTCATGAATTTATTTCATCTCAACCATACGTTTTGTTATGCAGAAAACGTAGATTAGAGCAGAGGCATAAGTTTTTGGTAAAGTTGGGTAGAGCGCAATACGATCCAACTAAACCGATGTATGTTTCACTCATAGCTCTAATTGGTGGCACGGATGACCAATTTTGTCAAAATGTAGCAAAAACATCTAGAGAGACTTATGATTTATTTTTAAAATCTATGTAATTGTCTTACAATTAATTGTAAATAAAAAATGTTATTTTATATAGAAAAACGCCTTCTTTAACATTTTGCTTTCATATTTTTATATTAATTTTTTATTTTTATGATTTTCTTTTTCTGGTATTTACACATTTGTATACACGAATATTTTACATCGCAATTGGTCTAGACGATTATCGTTGACATTTATGATAATAATGATTAAACAGTCCAAAACTTTGTAATAAAATGTTATAATACATAGATTTTAGTTATTAAATAGCTTTGCTATGTACAAAGTTCGCATTTTCTGAGAGATTCTTCTGTAATATGGTTCCAACGTACAGATTCCATGTCATTTATTTTGCAAACATATATATATATATAATGTGGATCGTCTTTGTGCAAATAGAAAATCGAAAAAAGTTCAATGAAAAATAGCACACCACACTTCATAGTGTTGACTGTAATAATCCTTTTTCACGTTGTCCTAATATCTAATCTAATTGTATTTACCTAATTCAATTTTATTTTGTATCGCTTTAACTGAATGATACAAAAGTGAATCTATCAATCCTGCTACAGTGAAAACACCGCCAATAATTGCACAAGTATTTGTCGCAAAGTGTCCAAACGACTTTGCCTTTTCTGTATATTTAACCATTAAAGGGCTTAATTCGTAACTGAAAAATACTCCAGGCATGCCTGATTCACCAGTAAAAAGGGATACTTGTTTAGCATGTCGCGTTACAGAAAATTGGTTTGTTAAAAGAGTTGAACCATCTGTACGCACGTAGGTAGTTGGTACAATTTTTATGTAATGGTAAAACATCATTGCTCCTGAAAACCAAAATCAAACATTTATTAGGACATATTTACATTATTATTAATACAATTAAATTGAACAATTTATACGGTTCGTCATCAAATAAATAAAATATACATGTATATAATTTAAAAGGATCATTCTGGTCAAGCAGTGCAAAAATATAAGGTATTTTCGTGAATTTAATTTTTATTTATGAAAAAGAATTATGATTTTCATTTTTTTAATGCCATATTATTAAATTTTTAACTTATATAAAACAAATTTATAAAAAAGAAAAATAGAACTTCTGAAATATAACGTCTCTGAAAAATTTCGTGACTCGTACAAATAATTGTTCTAGTTTCATAAGTTTAAAAAATAAAAAGAAAGACAAAAATGGTCTGTGTGCTTAAAGTTAAAGTATTGGAATTTACTACTCTTTTTTAAATGTTTTTTATATATTAAAAAAATTTTTAATTATATAACTATTTCTATAATTTTAGTCTTAGGTATAGCTAATAGTATACAAAATTCATCGTAATTGGTTTTGTATTTTTCTTTTTGTTACCTACGTAAGTATGATAAATCGTCTTTCGAGAAACATTCGAATAAAAATTAAAATAATGAAAATTTTAATATCCCAATTTTTGCATTACATTCTTAAAAGTATTTACTTACAATATATGCAAAAGTTTATTATTAAATTTTTAATTTAAAGATTTTTAGTAATACAAATATCTCATTCAAATAAACCGCCATGCAAATATCGATATATTGACGTCATTCAAAACGGAAGTAATAGAAACATGTCGTTGCTATTACATTTCACCGTAAAACTAATATGGCGTCTCAATCGTAATATAAGTTGGATCCCGGTTTATCAAACGACTAAAAGCACAAAAAAAAAGATAAAAATACACTTCTCCGAGTAATTAATACGAGCATATACGGTGAGTGCATTAGTGATTTATAAAATAAATAATAATTAATTGTTAAACGTTTTTTGTTTTTCCTTTTTTTTATAGCAAAATAAAGATTCTTATGTATTTATTATAATTATTACTACATACTTATTAGATTTTTATTAAAGAAATTATGTAAGAAAATAAAAAAAAGCTAATAAATCTTGAACAACATTACCATTAAAGAATGTTAACAATAAATGTTAAAAATATCATGTGTGCGTGTGTGTGCAGATCACACTATTAGAAATGAAACCTTCTTAAAACCAAGCTTCGAGAGAATGAGTCGAATGCAGAGTATTAAGAGTAAGATAACTGTAGGGTTTATTTATTATAATACCTTAGGATTTATTTATTATTATAGTGCCGTATTCTTATGTCGCCTCCACGCTTATCTCTGTTTATTCTTCTATCCTTATATCGCTTCTACATACATACAGGTTTAGTGTCGAGATGATATAAGTCCACGCTTTGTAGTATGCAAAATAATATGCACACAATATACAACAAGGAGCGATAATTACAAAGCAGAGCATAAAGAGGAAACCGAGAATAGGAAAAACTGTATAGCTATATTCTATCTCATTCTCTCGCAGGCTCAATCCTATATGTTTGTCTTTTTTTTAAAATGTGGCATTTTCACTTCAATAAACTATAATGTTTAATAATTTAAAGGTCACAATGCCAATTTCATCAGGTGTAGTGCAACAGCACAAAGCTTCATGCTGGGATAGAGTCAAAATGGGTTTCACCATGGGTTTTTGTGTTGGTATGGCCTCTGCTGCAATTCTTACAGGATTTTCAGCCGTCAGGTATATAAGACAGATAATCTACTTAAAAAAAAATATATATATAAAAAAAAAATACTATGTGTTTAATTATAACGTTAATTGATTTTTGTTTCATTTAGATATAGATTAAGAGGAAGAGAATTGATAACTCAACTTGGTAAAAGTATGGTTCAGGGTGGTGGTACATTTGGTGTATTTATGGCTATTGGAATGGGAATACGATGCTAATACTTTAAAAACTATATAAACAGAGCATCTTTACGTTGCATAAGGTTGTAATACTGAAGCATATTGTTGATTCCTTAATAAAATACTTTTAAGAAAACAATAGCATACCTTCCAGCGCAACTACAACAACATCATCCATCGGGTTTGTTTTTCCTGGTATATTTATTCCAAAACTTAAATGACGGATTTTGTGAGTCATGTTAAATTGAGACGAAGAATAAGGTTGCACATCATGTACTGTAACAAATAGAATTTCTTATTTTCAATAAGATTGTCTTATAACTTGAATGGATATAAAATTAATAACATTTTCTTTTTAACATGTTGAATGTGAAGCCAGTTTTGTTCTACTTTTCATTCAAATAGTACACAGTAACGATTTCTCATTGAGATGTTCATTTATAATGTATAAATACAGCATAACACTTATACACAGCAATAATGATTGTGTTTTATAGTCTGTTTGGGCTGTGGGAATGACATAGTCAATGTAGAAAAATATAAAGGATAAACAACAGATAATCAGATGAGGAATAGTAAAAAAGCGACTACCGAGAAAAACCATTGCTCAGATAAAAAATTCACTATCAATTTCCGGGGACTGACATCGTGTTTAATGTATAAATATTAATGAATAAATTTTAACATACCATGTACATGATTAACGGAGAAACTATCACCTGGTGCAATATGGAAACTTCCACCCACTCTATTTACCTCCATATAACCATAAATTTGACAACCTTGCGTAAAAGCATGTTTCATTTTTTCTACCGATTTATCATTTTGACATTGTTTGATCGTAGACGGAACAGGAAGAGCCCATTGTCTAAGCTTATAAGCTTCTTTCACGTCTTCGCATGTATTACAACATCTAAAAATATTATTTGTCAAAGTCCTTTCTTATGAACGATATGCCAAATTTATAAACCAACTTACTTTATATTTAATGCTTCGCTAGCTGCTCCATAACAGTCTCCGCATGTTTCAGTCGTAATATTTTCTACAGTCTAGAAAAAAAATACATAAATTATCGATTTTCTTTAATGTCAAACATTGAAATATTTACATTGTATGTTGAACAATTAAATATCTCTAATGTGAATAAATAACAGTACTATTCAATTACCTTCTCTGTAGTTTTACTTAGAGCCTTTGTATCTGTAATATCTATGATGCAATATAATAATTAGATTTTGCAGTACTCATTGAATACAATATTGATTAAATATAAGATTAATGTAAAATGTATTAAATGTACTGTTAATAATATTGCTAAGTCTAGATATATACAGGATTCGGCTGAATAACGTGTATAAGCTCACATATGGAGATTACTTATGAAGAAAAAAAAAAGAATCAAATATTGTCATCCGAGGTTTCATTTTCAAGAAAATCTATTCTCTTCTAATTAAGAATACAATTTGCTGTAAGACGTTTAACATTTCTTTTGTTTGTAAATAATATTCCGTGACTTTTATTGTGTTATTTCTATGAACCAGTTTGAATTCAGTTTCTGAAGTAATAAAAAATACGTTTAATAATCCGGAGATTAAAAGCCTGTAACGGTAATTATTGTGATATCATTTATTGTTACATAAAATTTTTTTCTGACCTGTTATAAAATATCTTTTTGTTATTTTTTGACTCCTATAATTTTGAAATATCGTATAAATATTATTTACAAATAGAATAGGTATTATACATTATGCATGGTGAATCATATTTCACCAAAAATTTAATTAGAATGGAACGAATTTTCAAATTTGGTCTTTTTTTTTTTTTTAACAAATCCTCGGAAGAAATTTAATTCTTCTTCTTTTTATATAAGAGAGAAATCACCTTACATTGAATGCTATAACATTAATGAGCTTTTTAATCATCTACTTATCAGCGATGTCTCATTAAATACATTCAACGATGACCTATAAGATATTGCGTGTTGTAAATTAAGGGGATAACTTCTATACTATACTTGTTTATATATCAATTGTTCATTTGCCAAATTAATTAACTCCGCATAAAAAAGTTAATAAAGTCATATATGTTGTTATATCACTTATTATTCATTAGTCACAAAAATTGTTACCACTTATTGAAATGAAGCCTAATTATTAAATAAATTTCTTTTAAATATAAAAGTTTTGCATAGATCGAGTGCTTTTGGAATAAAATTTCAGCAATTCTTAAAGTGAAGTTAATCGCTTTGGTTGTTGAATGGTTCATAAATCTTTTGTTAGTAATAATTGGTAATATCTGTTATTAACCCTTAATGCTCCAAGTGGATCTCTCAGGCATCACAGATGTGCGGTATTCTACTTCAAATTGGGTCGTTATAGGTAATTGCTACGAATCAAAAATAAAACTCCTCAGTCATTTACAAGTGTCATTGCAGTATCTAAAATCTGACACAAAATCTTGCAAGTTAAAATATGATGAAAATAAGTTGAAATTGCCAGTCGATAACCACAATTAAAAGTCAGAGTGTTAAGGGTTAATTGTTCTTTTAAGAAAATGCCTTATTGTCTTACACCTCTGATAAAATTATAATACCTTACTTATCAGAATACATTTTAAAATTAGTATTACTATATATTTTACTAATCTATCCGAATTTCAAATAAAAATTTGTTTTTATTTTCACTTGTAGAATATGCTCTTGTAATTTAGCTGGTAAACCATGGGGCACTCTCTCTTTCTCTCTTTATATATATTTAAGACGTTAACAACATTAAGATGTACTTGTTTTAAAAATATAATAAATAATTAACCAAATTATTTTGCTTGAATAAAAAATTGTTAAAATATTTATAAATAATTTTGTTTGCAGAAATATGGATTTATTACATAAACGTGACAACGATATTTTAAATTTTAATTTAAATCGCTTGTATACGTACTTGCTTTTTGTGGGTCTTCTATAGGTAGTCCATTTAAATCCAAGCGTCGTTTAAAAATATTATGTTCTATTTGCAGATGTTGTTCACCTGTTGTATCCATGGCATCAATAGATAAAACTAAAACATATGTGTAGGCTTATTAGTATCATAATTTTAATTATCTTTAAAATATCTATTATTTCATAGATTGATTTTCTCTTTTTATGATTTATTATTAATTGTCGTATTGTAAAATTTTTATACCAGTTTTTGCAAATCATTCTTAATTACTTGGAAGCAAAATTAACAGATATTTGAAATCTGTTATCATTGTTTACGAACACTATCAGTATTTAATGGAGAGTTAAACAAAGTAAATTCCTAAATGTATATATTGCATCTGAAAGAGTTTGTAACGTTAAAATTTGTACTTTTTTTTTTCAATTTTTTTTTTTGATATTTAGGCCAGTATTTCTTAAACTTTTAGTAAATCTATGCTAATTTAAATTAATAAATAAATTAAACAAATGTGGAGTGCTTGAGTTTCAAACAATTTAAAACTTGGTATAATATATAAAATCATAAGAAGTTATAATAATTTTTATAATTTTTTATAAAGCACATTTTGGCTTACCGCAGAATATAGTTTGAGAAACACTGATTTAAACAATAACAGACAATCTAAAAGATTTTTTCTACTATTATCTCTATAGTATAACATAGCATAATATAATACTTTTGTTACTCATTATGTATTCATTAAAAACATAGAGGTTACAAATTAACCCTTTCGATACAGCTTTGTTGTTTGCGAGTATGCTTTTACTATACGGGTAAATTATAAAGTAAATATATATTTTATTGCGAAGTAGATTAAGGGTGGGAGATTAGAATGAAATGTGTTTAAAAATTACAAAATTTTTTAAATTGTAAATCGATGTAAAATATCAATAGGTGACTATAGTCATTGATAGTACTCTGCGAGTGTTATGACATTGAGTAATTATAATTACCATTATTACATAGCAAGCATTAAATGTTGGGTGATTATAATAATTACTGATAGTACATTATGAATGCTACGAACATCAGTAGTTGGGTGACTGTAATCGCTATTAGTACACAGCAATTATCAAATGATGGGTGACTATAGTTATCGTTAGTATCGAAAGGGTAAAATCTATGTTAATATTAGTCTCTTTGTTATTAACTATAAATAAAAGATATATTATATAATATACTTACGATCGCATGATATTGCTGGAATTATTATATCCAAATTAATTCTTAATTTTGACCCCCTTGATGTATCAACGAATAATTCTTCACTTAGAGTAGGTGTAAGATAATAGTTAACTTCAGATAAAAACAATATACCCATGATGATAGTACTAATGATAGTCACTGAAAAAATGCAAATTTTATTTAATATCTAATTTCACTTGAATAATTATTTCATTATTTAAAACAAATTCTATTATTCTAATGATGACAATTATTTCTATATTTACTAATAATCAGATGTAAACAATGGAAACTAATATTTAACATAATACTCACAAAATCTTTTGTCTTTTGATTATTAAACAATGTGAGGTATAACGAGTAAATAATAATTATTATATTATAAAAATGTAAGAGTAATTTATATTTAATAAAGAATATTATTCATTAAAAAGAAGAATACAAAATTTGTGAGGTTAATTAAACATTAAATACTTTTATGGTTAATAATAATAAAATAAAGACAATCTGTTAAAATCTCAGATAAACAAATGTCTTAATGAAATAATAAAACATGAAAATATACTAAAGCTTGAATAAATATGATAAACTTCATTTTCTAACCTATAATATAAAATATATATTACCGATAGCACCGCTGAATGTTCGAATTAAAATATCAGCCTCTTCGCGCACCTTTGGGTGCACATCTAATTGTCGTAAAATCTGCATCCTCGAAAAAACTTAATTTCAAGGATATTAGAAATAATATGTGCCACTTTGTACCGGGTATATTGTCGGCGTGTTAACTCAAATGACGTATACCAAGACTATGTAAATACGTTTAGTTGAAATAAGCGCCATCTTGCGTTATTTTCAATTGTGATAGCGGTAAACTAAATTGAACGAAATCACAAAATATATATTAATAATTCTTAAACAATTATTCAATTAAATGCATCGATTAAATTAAAAATATTTTTTTATTTATAATTAAATAATATATATATACTTTGAATTAATTTATTTCAAATAACTTAAAAGTTTCTTAATTTTAAATAGATTCAATAATACGAATAAAAATGTAAATAATTTTAATATTTTAATTGCTTATTTTATGTAAAAATCAGATCTTTGGTAATATTAGTGTTATATTGAAAATATGTAAAATATAATGTATCTTAACATAAATATATATAATACTAATATCCGTTTTGATATCTTTACTAATAATGGCGCTGGAGTTGAGATGTTAAATATGGCGGAACGACTTGCGTGATGGCATGACGTTTATGTTCTCTTTCTCTTTTTCTGTCTCTCTTTCCCTCTCTCTCTCTCTCTCTCTCTCTCTCTCTCTCTTTGAAAAATAATTATGACATAACAGGAGGAAGTATATAACTTATGAATAAAATATATATAAATTGTAAATAAAAATAATAAAAGATGTGAATTAAAATTAAAAAAAAAAGATAAAAATTATTTAATTATTTTAAAGATATATTGAATTTCAAATAAATAATTTAAACTATAAAGGAATATTATAAATAATGAAACATTTTATATAAACATATTAAAAAGTTAAGTCCAACGATTATTAAATTTTTTTTAATGATTTTTTTACTTGTGTATATTAAGTATGAACAAACATGAACAACATTTACAACTTAATATTGGCCAAACATACAATTAATGAAAGTTTAAGTACGTTATTGTACGAATGGCAGTCACATTTTTCGTTTACTTTTAAAAATTTCATTTATAGTACCGTTTTGTATTGTCACGGATGGGGTTTGTATATAATTGTGGGGACTCGGTTTTTTATATCGTCAAAGATGGCATGCTTGATCTTCAAGATCAGCATTACTTTATGGCAATAATATAACTTTCGATTACATTCGTAATGATAAGTACACGGGGAATCACACTAAGGGAGAGAACATTTTGATTTTTCGATGGGCATAGGTACTAAAACGAGACTAAAATGGCAACTCAATTGATTCTTATTATTCGACTTTATCGCACGAAATATGTTTAGTTGTTCCTTTATGAGTGCCTACGTTGTTAGCAATCGATCATTTCGAAACATTTCTCGTAACAATTAAGTTTTATTTAACATAATTGTTGCTTGATTTTTCATCTGTTGATAATTTTAAGTTTTCTAAGAAGATCCTACAGACTTCGAAAAACAAGCGCTTCGGTATAGCTCTTTCGTTTTTTTTTGGTTTTCTTGGTCTACGCCGATACTTCGCTGGCAGAGCACTTATCGAACATCGCGTCCAGGACCTGACTGAACTTGAGATGTCTTTCCTCGGGTGCCACCGTAGCACCTCGACTACCCCATAGAAATTTTATATGAAACTCCGTTCGAAACGCATCGGATAGCAATTCGTCACTTCTGGCTCCTTCCAAAGCGATTTCAGCGTTTCGTCGAAACAATGGCAAGCTTTCGGCGAGTTTACGCGCCGCTTCTAAATGAGACCAAACTATGAAAAGGCCACAATCGGGTGCTGAATTTTCCCAAGGAGAAAGTATCGCTGCTGCTAATCCAGAAGGTGCTACAGTTCCTACGATAAAGAACAATTTTATTAAATGAAAATTGAATTTAGCAGATAAGTGTTAAATATAATAATAATAAAGAAAAGAATAAATGATTTTACCAAGAACATCTTCAGGACCACGTTCCTCAAGCAAAGCGATTGGTAGAAGATGAGGTAAAGTTGTGTTAGGTGCTTGAGGATTCGTGCATTCGTTCATGGCACGAAGAGTAGGCCTTAATTTGGCTTCGAAACTAAATGCTTCTTCAGTATGCTTTTGCCTGAGAAGATGCCACGTATTGGCCAATCTTTGTATCTGTGGTAGACATAAGCCAAGCATCACACCGCAGAAACCATAAAGATTTCCTAGAGCCGTTTTAGTATCTATAGCAACTTTGATCCATTTACTTATCGTTGCCGCTCTTTCGATTGCAGTAGCACCGGCTAGAACGGTCACCGCGACTAGAAGCTTCAAACACTCGGATCTTTCTATCAGATCCATCCTAGCTTGCCTACCGTGAGGCAACGTTGCTAGTTCAATTCCACTTAATCCGCTACGATTGCCAGTACCAGGCTGAAGAGCGACCTCAAGATCAATTCTGGTGAGATGGGACGCCAAGACTCTGGGTGCTGAATCGTGTAACATTCCAGAGACGCCTCTTAGCGCGGTAGGATCGAGAGGTCGATGTTCTCCAGCTGGTAAAAGAAGAGTTGAGAAACCTTCGATATCGAGCACTGTCGTAACTTCTAACGAAGGAGCGGCAACTACAAGTTGTTCTTCGGCGCTTAACTCATATTCATTGCCGTTATTACCATTTGTACCGTCATTACTGGTATTGTAATGGCTTCGTATGACTACACCTTTAATGGGTGCGGACGACGATGGATTACTTGTACCGCCCGAGTTATTTGTCTCGAATTCACTATCTCCTGATCCGTTTCCACTATCACTTCCGGAAGCTTGATAACCTTGATGATAATGATGACGATGATGATGATGTTGTTGATGATTTCCAACGTATGGTACTCGTGGTGGTTTCGGCGGAGCAGAACCTGCTATGGTATTTTGATGATTCAAACTAAGAGGTTGATGTAACTGTTGTTGTTGCTGTTGTTGTTGTTGTTGTTGTTGCTGTAGTTGTTGCTGCAGTTGCTGTTGTTGTTGTTGAAGCGCTGGATCTGAAATCACTCTAGTAATCTTTTGACGACCCAATGATAACGAACACGAAGGTGGTTGGCTCTGTATTGGTGGTATTCTTGGTAGTGTACTCGATTGTATCGGAATATTTGCTTGTTGGCTTCCAGTCTCTCTATTGGCTCCATGTTGATCGGGTACGTGATGCTGCGCTGTTAGGGAATGACTACGTTGTTGCTTCCTTGGCAATCGCGGTGGCGAACCAGTCGACAAAGACGACGAGGATGGACTCGAACTATGTTGATTTACAGTAGGTCCACCACTTACACAGGTCAGTGGTACTGATCTTGGCTTTGGAGTTATAATTCGAGCACCACTCGCTTGGCTTATCGGCCTACCACTACCAACGTAAAAGGTTATCAGATCGGCGACTGTGTCGAAGGCTTCCTCTTCAAACTGGTATTGTGCTCTCTCGTAGACCGTTTCCGGCTGAATTACGACCTATAATAAGGAAATCCTAGTTTTAATACGAAATTGTTTTAATACGAATAGTTTTAGACCAATTTTCGTTAAGATTCTATAGACAATTTTATTCTTTCCTTTTTTGAATTATCTCATAAATATATTTATTTCCAAATTTACAAGCGATTTTTAAATTCTTTTGCATTTTTTTCTTGTTTCTTATTTTTCAGATTCTTCGTAAAACCAGTTCCTCGAAAGTTTGTATTTATATATCTTGCGAAACTTTTCTACTAAAATCTATTTTTATAGTATGATTTAACAACAGATTAATTAAAGTACAAAGAATTCGTCAATTTACAGAGATTGATCTTAACTACTGTTTAATGTAATCAGCTTACTCTATTTATAACGAAATGAAGCGGTTGTCCCTTCCATCGTACGGTGAGAACGTAATTCCCTGGTTGAGAGGCACAATCTCTGACGAGAAAATCACCGTCGTTGGGTACTTCTGCTTCAGCACCTTTTCTACCACCTCGGAGCGTACTGCCATGATACCAAGCATGCGAACGTAAATCACGTGGATCTAAAAGCCGCAATTCTCTTTCTAACAGTTTCCGCGTCGATTCTTCTGGTTGCTCCTGTAAGAAGATCAACGTGACTTCTGTCATTTGATCATGAACGAATGAACGATTAATAAAGAAGTTCTTTGATTTCTAAAATTCATCTTCAGCAAATGATATTACTGTAAATATTAAAAGCAAGAAATCAAAGATATTTCTAAAAATAATCAAGCAATTAAATGCTACAAACGCAAAACATATTACATCATAAAGTAAGCGTGTAGAAACATAGCCGGATAAAATTAATTCCATGTAAGACAATTGTATCAATCAATGGAGAAGTGGCGCAAGTCTACAGAACCGGCGAAGATTGGCTTAACGAGAGCAACCTTGAGTGTTTACCATGATCTATGATATCCAACTCTTCTACGAGAAAATATTCTCGCGTTAAACGAAAAAATATGTTTCCTCGTAAAATCATATTACCTTGGTCAATTAAATATTAGAATTTGTCAATTCATCGCTGTCTTTATATAAAATATCACAAGACTCACCATTGGTGGATTTAAATTATTGTTGCTCTCGAGTCCTTTCGAGAGAGTTATCTCTCGATGTAAAAGACATGCGTCGCGATCCTCCCTTCTATCACTTTTCACCTCCTCCTCCTCCTCTGCTTTTTCCTCTTCTTCTTCTTCTTCTTCTTCTTCTTCCTCGAGTTCCTCCACCGATCTAACAGAAGTATTAATTTTCACTTAAGCGTGCCACTCACATCGTGAACGTCAACTCGCTTTTCCTTTACTTAACTAACTTATTAGTTTTCAAATAATAACACTAATTCGATATTTTTGAAATGGTTTCCCATTTAAGTGTTATTTCGATTCGTTGAAAGGAAAGAATCGACGGATAGGGTTCGGCCACACGGCTCTCCGGCCGAGCGCGCGCACCCCACTGAACTATGTCCGTCGACCCTACGATATAGACAGTGCCGTATTTTTGATGAGAATCAATGGGGCGCTTACTTGATGTATTTTAATAGAATTTCACAAAAGCTAATTAAAACAATTGTAACACCGTAATATATATTTTTTTTTTATACCTTTTCAATTTGATTTCCATTTCTTTTTTTTTTGTTTAGAAACAAACATAATAAACAAATAACGCGAGAAGGATGTATCGATCTTTCGTATCATTTATGATTTGTGTTACATTTTTTTTAAACATTTGCTTCTCATTTTCTTTTTTTATTCTTTTCTTTTTTAACACGTTATTCAAATTTTTTAAACATAATTTTATATTACGTTTAGAACATAAATAAATAAAAAAGAAAAAAATTCTCGTTTGATATTTTTACAAAATTGACGATAAAAATGACGAATCGATGTAATTTGTTTAGTCGACAAGGAAATAAAATTAATTTTGATTACATTGTGGTTTTGTATGAGAATCCTTACGTCCCTGTGATGAGCCTACAGCAGGTTTCCTTCTCTCTTCCTCTCTTTCTCTCTCTCTTTCTCTTTCTCTTATTCACTCGCTCACTCACTCTCTTTCTCTTTCTCTTTCTCTTTATTCTTACGCCTGCGTTTTCTCATCTCCTGAATCGCTGTAAACGTCAAGAAGTTCGTCGACGTGGTGACAGATACTCCTAGAGTCACACACTTCATATGATTCGATTGAAATCGAGTCGTTTTTAAAAGACACTACGGATCACAATCGGCTTGTGATTCATTCTTTCCTATATCTCTTTCTTTCTTTCTTTCTTTCGATAGTCTCATTTCAATATGGGGTTTATCGATTTTCGTGAAAATAGGGGAAAGTGCATACAGGGAGTTCGATAATGCTTGTACGCGCCTGCGTCAAACGCGCTCGATAGAAAGTATTTTCTCGAGTGCACGCACCAGATGCAATCGATATTTTGCATACTCCATAATTTTTTATATTCTTTATATCGAATAAATAGTAAAGTAATGAAAAGGTCATTTACTATGCTTTGTACTTTGTCTTTAAATTAATTAATAAATCGATTTTATTTTACATTTTTGTTTTAATATTGAATTTTTGTGTATTAAATTCGTCTAATTCATAAATTTTCTATTAATATATTTTAGTTTTATATTATGAACGATTTTTGTGAACTGAATTTTTATTATGTTTTGTATTTATAGTATAAATAAATTAGTCCCATTTTACATTTTTTTTTGTATATTAAATTTGTTTTTACAACTTCGCATCAACTCCATCAATCAATCGATAAGTTATATTTTTAATTAGTTAAAATTTATGGTAAAACTTTTTTTTCTTCTTGGCAACTGAAATTTTTTAGCAGACAAATTTAGAAATGGTTTTTTTTCGTTTTTGAGTGAATTTGTTTTTTAATGGTAGAACTGACATTTTTATTAAAAAAGATTTATTAGTAAATATTTGTTTTTTTTTTTAATTATTAGATGAAATATTGATATGTGCCAAAATGCAATGTAAAATTATGTAACATGCATTCATTTAGAAAAACACCAAGAAAATATTCTATTTGTCTACATGATGAAACAGAAAGAATATTTGTTATAATTCAATATTTTTATCTACAAATCAGACATACGATTCACTCTCAACGAAATTGTTATTAAAAAATATTTTTGATATTTTTTTTAATGAAATGTCACGAAAGAGTAAATAGCATCAAAAAACTTTACACGCGATTAGTATTTTTTAATTGAAATTCGGGTTGTTGACGTCACACAACATTTTTTATCGATCATATATGTGTCACAGTAAATTTTATCATAAAAAAAAAATCTCGCGTGATCAGTTTTTTTGTATTTTCATGTATATGTATACTAATGATTCTTGAGTTAATTTAGTTAATTGATATAATTTTAGATTATTATGTTTTTCCTGTTTCGTTAGGTTACAAGTAATTGATTTGACCTAATTTTAAATAAATTAAAGATTTTTCTTCAATATTTTATTAGTTTGTGTTTAAAATTACGATGATTAATTATTGTTATTGATGATTTGTCTTTCGTAGATAAACACAGTATATATTATATTTATTATATGAAAATAATCAATACATATATATACTAAAATATTTTCTACATATTTTAATTTATTTTATTTTACTTTAAATTTTTTATAAAAATCTTTTTATAAACAGTATAATTTTAGAATTATAATATATTTGTAGTCAAGTATATTTTTTTCTTCAAAAAGAAATAGAATAAAAATCAATGTTTAATTATAATCAAATTTATTAACAAAGCTTTTTAAATAATTTTATTTAGAAAAAATTAAATTATGAAGAGATATCTTTGAAAATCTTTCGAATAAATTCCTTATAAAGAAAAAGGAATACAATTTTTGGTTATATTTGCTTAATAAATAGGGATGCTGTACCCTAAATTAAAATACAGAGATAAGCATAGATGGTTAACAATGATAATGATAATATTACTTCTAAGTATATCGTTTCTCCTTCATTTCTTTCTTTATCTTTCATGCATAACATTTCTTTCTTTTTAACTTCTGACGTTATATTACCTCCAATGAGATCACGCGTGTCCGATGCTATGTGCGAGAATGAAAGCTCGCTTATCTGCATATGCGCGAGCGTATTTAAGATAAAGTCGACTGGTTATGCGATACGATGGAATGAGAAACATGAGATAAGCAGGAACGAATAGGATAGGATGAAAAAACGAAAGACCCCTATTTAAACGAAAAATTGTCAAATATTTTTTGCGAAAAGCACCTAAAAACATCCATTTTATTATACATGTCGATGAAATTTTGTCAAATCGATCGATCAATCGATTACGTCATTTATAAATTTATCCTTTCAAGTATTACGTCATATTTAGGATACAAAAAATAATGGGAATAAAATTTTCAAACATCTACAAAAATAATATATTTCATTTTTAAATTATTTCTTGAATTTTGTCAAAATGATCATGATGGGGAATCTTTTGTCAAATAATTTCATTATTGATAAATTTATTCTTCAAAAAATTTCATTAAATTTTTAATAATAGAAGGAAGGGCCAAATAAAATGGAAAGTAATGTAAAAGCACATTTTCGAGACCTTTAGAAGTAACATATCGGATGAGTCAATTGCTTACTTTAACATTAAATTATACGATCAAATTTCATGCATGAACGATCCGAGCCAAGGACGAATGAGGAGTATGAAGCTACGAAAGATTTCTCGTTCGAGGAAGATTCTATTCGCGGTTTCCCTGATCTTACGTTATGGACTTTCCGCGTTTGTTGCTCACCGTATTCGAGTCGGGACGTCATTTTGAAGGCAAAGATCGAGGAAAACCGGTTCGAGACCCAGTCAGCTCTATTATATGTTCGTATTGGTATTCTCGTATACCCTTAAAGAAGCTAATTCATAAATAATAAGTCCAAACGCTCTACTTTGGTGTAAATTTCTGACGCTGATATAAGAAAGGGAGAGAAAGATAGAGAGAAAGATAGTATCACAGTGTGAATAGAAAATGCTGTGCAAAGAAACGAAGAGTATTGGTATTAAATAAAAAAGGAGGAGTAAGAGAGAATGATATTCTGTATTGGTGGTAGAGAGTAGTGGGTACGAGCAATGAGTGTTTAATAATCGATATCATGTAGCTCTTTTGGCTGTTGTAAATTTGGAGAATCGATTTAATTTATTTTTTATTTTTTATTTTACTAAGCTCCTAAAATATTCATCCTACTTCGAAATATAGATTCAGAATTTTAGGAATAGGTCAAACATATAGTTTTCAAAAAAAAGTCATATTATTTATCAAAGAATACTTTATCAAGGTAATCTTTTGATTACTTAATTAGATTAATTAACCCTTCGAGTCCTGAATAACTTTTAGCTGAAATGTTTCATTGAGAGTGTTTCATTTTTTATTGCACTTTTTTGGGAGCAACTCAAATAAATAGTCATTGCTTAGCTTATATGCTTATATAAGATTCTAGTCTAAAGACTGAACTTATCTTCTTTTATAGGGACTAGTATTAATTATTCCCTTTAGCGTAATTAAATAACTACTGTTTATTAGTTCCTCATTTTATTTTTATATAAATAAGGCGTAACCGAAAAGAATTATTCTTTAAACTTCTTGTTTATTTTTATAGTTTTGTACAATATAATGTAATTTCATTGATGTGCCAAAATAAACACGTTCAAAATCAAAATCAAAAAATGTTTCATTGAGACGGAATAGTTTATTATTAATGTGAATGGTTTTCCTGTTATGTGATATAATATTAATCAGATCTAATAATAAATTATGTTTAATAATTACAATTTTTGTTTCTTATATAATTTTCATGTGACAAGACTAAAAATAATAATCAATATATCCAAACAAACATTAAATTATTTTACGTTATTATTCAGAAACACGTATACACGTCGACAGACTACGCTGGCAACTTTTATCTAACGCATATATGCGTCCATATCAGTCAAAGGGTTAAGCGAGATTCGTCAAATTAGTATTCTTTAGTACCTTTGATTAGATCTAATGAAATCCTCTGGCGACGGTGGCGTCACGATCAGGCATGGTTCTTTTTGAATCACTTCCGGTTGTAGATGGATCGTATGTCTCTGTCGTCTGAGATCCTTGGAAGAGGATAAAGAAGAAGAGATTCCTCTTTTCCGGCGCCGTCCGCTGGCGCCTAAATTCTGTAGGGTGCCCATCGACGGAAATCGGAAACTCCATGCTATGCCTTCGAGAAATACATACAAAACACTACTATTAATAGATGTAATAGTTCTTTTTTTCTCTTTTAACTTATTATTTGAAAAATCTATAATACAATTTTATTTGCTAGAAAAATTTATTATTTTCAATTTATTTTCTATAAAACACTAAAGAACAATTTTAAATATTTATTAAATTATATTTAATTTATAAATATAATTTATTAAATCAATCAATTAAATTTAATAATTTAATGTTGACTTATATAAAATTATTGAGTTTTGTTAATAATTTGATTAATAATTTTATTAAAATTGTTTTTGATATAAATTATTACAAATAAAGAAAAAGTATTAATATAAAAAGTAATTTATCAAATTAAATTATTTAAAGTAGTAAACAATATTACACAGGTACAACCTCCATTCCGTTTTGTATTGAAATTGTAACGTAAAACAAAACAGTGTGATAAAAACTTTCATACGGTATGAGAGCTTGTCAAGTTTATTAGGTCGTATTATATGGATATATTCTTATAACAATAATAAAAAAAAGGTATAACAGTACCGTTGTTGTAAAAAGATTGTTGCAATTTTGCACTGTGTTATAACAAATAAATTTTTTTAAAATTCCGTGTTATATAATAATAATTTACAATTTTATACTTTAACAATACGTAAGTTGCATTTAGTACAAATATGAATATACTTGTGAATGATCTACAACAGATTTTTAACAATAAAAAAAACACTTACAAAAAATTTCAAACTATCATATTTGTTTTTTCAATTTTTTTTCGTTCATATGACTTGTATTTTTTAGCTTTTGCATTGCACAGTAAAGGAACGTAAATAGATCCAATTATTTCGTATATTGTTCATCTTTTGTTTGTTCGCAGCGTCTCTGTTTTTTTATCATATCATAATAATAACGTCCACTTTCATAAAACATGCCAACCCATTTCGAGTTGGCATGATCGTTCCAATAGACGCTTTGCCGTTGCGTTCGAATACGCTCAAAAGCACGTTCGAATTTTTTTTACAGAATAACGAGCTAATACTTGGACAATATTTGCCATACAAATTCGGTTTATTTATCTCATAGGTTTTGTTCCTTATTTAAAAAATTTTTAAAAATTAATATTCATATATTTAATAATTATTATCAATTAAAAATTATAAACAATAATAATTAAATATTAAAATTTTATAAAATTAGATTAGCTTTCATTCCTGATTTATGATTATATAATATCCATATTTTACAATTATTATTAATTAAAAATGATAAAAAATGATAAATATTTAAAAAGATTTTTACATTGGATTTAAATTTATTTAAGATTTCTAGTTATCTAAAATGTTGTTTAACGATTGTAAACGAAACGGACTTCACAAATCCATAAAAGGGACATTAATAAAGTCAATTATTTAAAATGAAATATGAATAAAATAATGTTAAGTTTATCGTTGTAATCATATTTGAGGCAATTCTTTTTGTTTCACTTGTCTATTTATTATAATACATCCACTTATCGATTATTATCTGAATGTCTGAAGCTTATCTATTTGTTCATCTACCAAACACAATTTTCTAAAACAATTCAATTAAGTAAGTTGTGCAAATAATTATGGTTTGAAAGCAATTTTGAATGTAATAATTGAGGTTTTGTATAGCAATAATCGGTATCGAAAATTATTTGTCATTTGTCGATTTGTCAGTCGGTCGTTCGGTTGACGTAACACCAAGCACGGCTGGTTTGAAAAAGAGAAGTAATAGGAATGCAGGTGTGCTGAGTTCGCTGTCGCTGTCGCCGTTGGCTTGTTCTCACTCTCCGTTTGCTAACATAATACCTGGCAACGGTGATAAGGTCGCCGTTTACCGAGATAACTATGCAACATACGAACAGACCTTATCGTCTCGAACAAAAAACAACCACACTAGTACACTTTTCTTGAACCATACAATTTTCTATTGAAAACAAAAATTCTCACGCGAAATATTATATTGTTATTTAAAAGAAAAGCATATAGCTCGTTATTAATCATACATTAAGTAAAATTATATGCAAATATATAATTTACACATTGATACTGGAATGTATAACGAAGAGATACAAAAAATAAGTTAATAAAAATTTACGGTTATTTCCATTCATGAAACATTTGTTATGGTTTATGAAAAGAAAATTTGACCTATAATATAATATTTTTGTTAAAAAATTATTTCTAAAATAGAAATATGAAAATTTCCATTACGTAATTTTGCGTTGTCCGACGACAATGTTAAAAATTATTTTATTCAAAAATTAAAATAATTAATTATATTTTTACCTACAATTTTGATAAATATGGTCAATGACAATATCTTTGTAAACTCTAAAAATATTTTAAAGGAATTTTTGTAAGCCTTGCAATCATTTTTTTTTAATTACGATTATATTTAAATCCTTCTGATGCACATAGATGCATAATTCTAATGTGATTCAAATTTGGTATCATACCTTCGTCAAATTTAGGTTCGTATAACTTTGACGACTGTGTGAATTTAAAAAATTAAATAAATATCTTTTCTTATTGTTAATGTCATATTGTATTGTTAATTTCTAATCTAATCCCACGATACGTTCATTAACATTTTCAATGCACTGACACATATATATGCGTACGTTTAATTATATCTAATATTACAATTATTCTAATCAAAGAAAAATTAATATCATTTTCTTAAACATTCATTATTTTACCAATTCATTCTGTCTGGTTCTCAGAATCGCTTTGTTTATTAGAAATAAATAAATCAAAAAATAAATTCATATTTTTTTCACTATAAACAATTCATTCAAAAAAAGATTAAAAATTAATGAATAAAGAGTAAAAAAACGATCATCCTTTAAATCGATTTGATGATCAAAATTCTTCAATCGTATGGAAAAGGAAAAAAATAACGTCAGAAGAATTATACCAAGAGAACACGTAATACTTTCTGAATACCAGTCACTACGACCACATCGATGTTGTTAGCAACGTAACAAGGCAATATATACGTTACGGACACATTACAGATGCTGTCGTAACTCGCAGGAAATACGACCTTTTGCTCGTTCGTTTTGTCGGCACCAAAACTATCAAAGATTTGTTGAACTCTTAAATCTTGATCATACGTGTGTAAGTATATGCAATGAGATCATATGATATGTAATTACACGTGTCCAATATGTGCATATATATATTAGTGAAAAAGAATCGATATTTGCGTAATGTATAAATGTTTCATTTTAAAATGATCGTTTACATTCTGTCGCGTTATCGCTGATCGGCAAAATTACGAATCTCCTTATTGCTTTTTTCAACGCAGTAATTTACAATCATGCAAAATTTGTTTGGATAAATATTATATTATTTCATAATATTTTCAAAGTTTGATTCTTGGGTAATTTTCACAATAAAATCACGACCGAACGGAAATAATTAGATCAAAATTGTATCAATCTGTGTTAGGTAACTAAATACTTATTTTATTCGTATCCTTTATTCTCACTTTCCGAATCGTTTATCATAAAGTTCCGAAATAGAAAAAAGGAAAAGTTGTTTTTCTAATGAAAGGAAACAGCTGTGAGTCACGTGTGATCGACAAAGAAACATTCCCAGTACCAAAATTCACTCATACAAATACAATTAATGAATTATGAATACAATCTAACTACAAATACACACAAATTAAAGACGAAACAAAAAAAAAATGGAAAATGAAAAACTGACTTTGAGTTCTACGCGACTTCAACTTGCTGGCGTTCTTTCCCATTATTATTTTCCGTGTAGTACCATGCCAGTAAAGGTAAGAATAGTGGTTCGAAGATTTTTAACTTTTCGCGATTGGTAACGTATGGCGCACAAATGTAGAAGAAGATCACGAGGATGTATTGCCACGGGACTTACGTAGCATCGTAGAGCACGGTGTGACCGTAGCATAATGCGATACCGAGCTAACTGGGCTCAAACAGAGAGAACGAATGAAGAAGAAGGGACGGTACGACGAAACCGATAGACACAGAAGTGCTAGTAGTAGGTATAAACTCGAGGAGGAGGAAGAGAACGTGCGTGAGTGAATGAAAGAGAGAAAGAGAAATGGAATAAGAGAGAGAGAGAGAGAGAGAGAGAGATAAAGTGAGAGTGAGAATGAGAGAGTGAGGGAGACAAACAGAGATAGAGATAGTTTCACAGTGTGAGTAGAAACTGCTGTGCAAAGAGACGAAGAGTAGTGGTATTAAATAAAAAAAAAAGAAGTAAGAGAGAATGATATTCAGTATTGGTGATAGAGAGTAGTGAGTACGAGCGATGAGTGTGTTTAATAATCGATATCATGTAGCTCTTTTGGCTGTTGTAAATTTGGAGAATCGATTCGTATTACCGTAGATTTTTTAAGTTGGATTGGAATCACGAGTATACTCGTGACTGCACAAGCAAACAACTCATGTGTTTATTATATAAAAAAATTTATTAAAGTCATTATAATAATATAAGGTACTTACGTATTAACGCCACCGCAGCAAAATTTCTCTTTCCTACACCTTAAATGGTTGCGACAAATCATAGAATAAAAAACTTTATTTAAAATCAAAACACTTTTGAAATTTAAAAAATTTTATTTATAAAAAGTAGTCAATCGGATTTCCGATTAGAGATTGGCCGATATAGAATTTAACATAGATTCAAAACAGTCTCTATTTTCTTTCACCTGATGCTGTCGCCATAACCCTGACGAAACCCTGACGAAACCCTGACGCAACCCTAACGGTTGCTGTGTGCAAACAACAAGGTTGTTGTTTGCGAACAAGATTGCTCTTTATTGGCGCATTAGCGGAATTTTTGCTGCGGTGGCGTTAATACGTAAGTACTTATTATAATATTAATAATTCTAATTGATAGTATTTACCATATTTTTGATTTTTCTTATTTGTAAATCCGTATAAGTGAATCAAAAAACCATAGACTTATGTTCGAATGGTAATAATCTTCACTTTCTTCACTACGCATAAACTTTTTTAGCAATCTTAATACTAGAAGTTGAATTTCAAAGTTGAAAGGATAGAAGTAGGTAATATAGATAAAGACATGATTTTTATTATTAATAATTAAAGATATATTTGGCTATTCTACTAGTATTAGATGAAGTTAGTACACAGATTCTCTTAATAGTTTAATTGTTCTTCCCTATTTAAAAACTTTGAACTACCTCTTAATCCACAATTAAAATGCTCATAACTATACAACTAGCATTTTATTTTTTTCAATCTATATTCCGATATTATTACATCACTTATAGTCTAAAATATACATATAAATAAAATCAAAAACTAGTAAAAAATAGGTAATATCTTAACACGTTGAGCGCCACGCTCATTTTCAAACAAGTTGCTGTCAGGCCACGCGCGCCGTTTAGAAATATCATGTTATACGCTGTCAGCTAGCAGTGACTGACGCGGCCTATACGGAAAGTCTAGTGTCCGTCACCAATGGCGGACGTGGCTCTCAACGTGTTAAGCCGGCTTATTTCTGAACAATTTATAAACAGAAATGTAATATTTCCAATTAAATATTGACAATAATAATAATAGATATTATCTCTTCTTAAGCCTTAAAAAAATTACATAAAAATTAAAATATCTCCTAAATTAATAATTTTTGTACATAAATGGGTTAATACTTTTTTGTAAATAATATGAAAGAGCATCGGATGATGCAATAAAAAATATATGATTCCGTTTAAAAAAACATTAATGATCTTCATATGTCCTTTACACGTCCACCTACAAAAAAAAAAGTACTATCAGTATGAGCCCCTTTTAAAGCCATTCAACTCCATGTGAAACATTGTCTGCTACGTGTAATAATAATAACGTAAATCTAGATTGTAAAATGTGGTGACCCACCCTGTATATATATTAGGGTGGGTCAAAAAAATCAATTATTTTTTTTTTACAAGTGCCACAGAAAAATAGGTTGCTGGACACCTTAAAAAAATTCTCACCAAATATGAGCTCTTAATTTTAATAGGTAGATCCTCTGCATCGCAGTTGTTTATTTTTTTCTCAGTCCAATAGAATATAATTCATACCTCATCATTGATTGATTGTACAGAAAAATGTTCTGAAAGAATTTAGTAGGAAATTTAATGCTCTACAAAAAAGGTAGATTAGTAATTCCCGAAATCTATTTCCTATAGATAAATTGTTAAAAATAATATCCGGATGCAACCAAAATTTATAGACCCTTTCGATTGTTATGTGCATTACTCTGAATAATAGTAAAAATATTAAAGAAAACAAAATGTGTCATTATAAAATTCGATATTTTTATAAATTTAAAAATATTTTTATTATTATTACTGTGAAAAATTGTCAGGAAGTCTACATTTCGAATTATTTTGGAAATTAAAATCCCGGTCTAAAATTGTATCTGTCAATAAAAAAAGATAAGAAATATTAAAAAATTTCCTTATAGTAATGGAGACTATTTTATTTTCTTGTAATTATACTTATATATTTTCTATACCTCAAATATTTCAAAATCATACCATATATCGTATCTAAAGTAAAATGATCAGTGTAATGGGATATGCCCACTTCATTTTCATTAGAATTTACAAAAATTCTTTTTAATCTGTTTGAATGTTTTACTATCTTATCTATATGAATAGACAGAGATTTTTGTTTGAATATTGGATTTAACAATTTTCGATGATTTTTCCATATTGATGCTTTAAATAAAAAAAATATTTTAATCAAGTATTTTATATTTTTCTTTTCTGTATTTTACAAAGTTTCTATGTAGAAAAGAACAATTCTTTTATATGTATGTTTCATGCAGTAGTGTACACGTCATATGCGATAAAAAAGAGAAACATCTTTAACTATCAATTATTTTTCAGTTATTTAAAAAAAAAATCTTTTTTAATAATATAGATTTAGGTATTTTTTTTTTTTTTAAGTAAAAGATAAAAGTATAATTCTTAAGTTTACCTGGAGCAGATATCAAACCATTGCCTAAACAAGGTTTAAGAAAATCGTATATTGAACCTTTTTCTAAAGCATTCGAATGTTTAGAAATAATCTAAAAGAAGAAGACTTCGAAAATATAACAAATAAAAATTTAAACAAAAATAAACTTTTGAAAACATATTATAAGAAATGAGTGAAAAACTTATGAATTGTATTTAATATGTTCTAGTTCATCCAAGAATATACATAATTTTGGCCCTATCCAAAGTCGCCATTGTAATGGAGAGTTTTTCATTACAATTAACGTTTTATTTGTAATATCTAATTATAAGATAAATTCAATTAATGGGGCATTTCACGTGAAGCAGACAACGAAAAAAATGTGAGGTCGTGGATTTTGTTCATAAATAGCTTAATTGTACCTATTTATATGGGATCTCAATAATTGTACATCATTATTTTTTTTTTTACCTTAGTTACCAATTTATGGGGCTTCAAAGAATTGACAAAATATAAGAAATAGATTTTTCGAATACTATTAAAAGAGCCAATCTAATGGATTAAATAAGAAATAAATCGTGTTTATTAGAGAATAAAAATTAATTTTCTTGGAAGTAAATAAAAATTTGAAAATTGAATTTTTTTTCGTCTAGTAAACCGGAAGTTAAAATTAAAAATGTGAATTTATTAAACTTCGCATATTTTTATTTTTTTTTATTTTTACCTTAAAAAATAGCTTGTAGTGGAAAAATATTATGCAACAAAAATTATAATGGTATCTCGATTCGTTTAGAAGATACGAACTAAACAGTATGAAGGTTCGATATGGCGCGCTGTACTGAGCGGTTTCTCAGGGCTGTTTGTTGGCTCACTCGCTACTTACAGTTTACTATTGTAACTAATGAATTATACACTTAGAAACCTTATTACTAATACTATTAGTAATTATTACTAATACATTACTAATACAAACTACTAAACACAAATTAGTAATATTGTAATCTATTGTGTAGTGCTTAGCACCGAACCAAAAAACTGTTAAATTTTGTAATAGGTTATTTTAAACTTTTTAGTGCCAGTAGAGTTTTTTGAAATCGGTTTTTTGTTTGTTAAAAAACTTTTTTTTAAGCGTGATTGACTAGCTTCCAGTCTCGAAAAAATATGCAACTACTACTTTGATAGAAAATCTGGGTGTATCCTGATATTCTGAATACATCTGCGTAAGCCTTTCGAGTGTACAGGCGTTACGTAATGTTGTGTGATTGCGTAAACAATGCATATTTATGCGATAGTAGAAATGGCGGTTGATTTGCTGTCATTTTTTGAAGAGTTCCGTTGTTTGTCTTCGAAACTCATCATCAGATCTATATAAAATTTAAATGGGACCATTTCGGAATAAACGCCTTTCGAACAAAAAAAAGAATTTTGCAAATCCGTCTAAATATGACGGAGTTATGCCCGAACATATATAAAAAAAAAAAAAAAATACAAACATCCGGATTGAGAACTTCCTCCTTTTTAAAGTCGGTTAAAAAGAACGAGAGAGATATATACAGCGGAATTTTGATAATAAATTAAAATCAATTGACCAGTTGACAGAACGTGAAAATGATGTCGGCGAAAATTACAAAATATGTGGCAAAAATCATCACGGCTCAAGAAAAAAGAACTCCAAACTAATGCTCCGGACAAAAACAACAACGAGATGAATGACAACAACAATGACATTAATAAAAATATCTCCAAACAGACATCGGTGGGTAAGAAACGAATTAAAAAAAACAATACACCATACCAATACACTTGGAGTAGGAAAAACCCTGGCCTAATACTTATTAAGTTGTCTCGATTGTCAACCTGGCGTAATATGTGAACATTTGTCGATGGGACAAATAAACTACAGTGATAATCGCTTGCCATTACCTTCTGCAAAGGCACATAAAGTGTTGAAAAGATTTCAGAAAGACCCCGTAGTCAGGGGTGAAATCAAAAAACCAAAAATTATTCCAAATGTAATT